ACATCAAATTTGGTATCTACTGGTGTACCTTTTTCACAATACATCAACAACCAACTTAAAACCATTAAAAAGAATGGTGGCTCTTCAGCTTCAAGTATCGAATCTGTCTTGATCATTAAGCTGTAATGAAAATCTAAGGAAGGCAGAGGGGCTAGCAAAATCAGATACAGAAGCCATTCAAGGCATTGCCACGGCAACCGGTTCCATGACCCTGTCCCTGATCCCTTGGGATGGGTAATGAAGCAGCCTTCTGGGAAATCACAATACCACATGTTTTCCCCAGAGGACGGACAAGCTTTATACTGCATTAGTCACCACTAAGATGTACGACAACACCACACATTCTACACTTTCACAAAATATTAAATTAATTCCACAAGTAATGTACACACACAGATAGGAAGTCAATTTTACACCCAAATGAACATGAGCAAAGATGTTTGGAAAATAATGGAAAAGAGGTGCTCATTTTTTTTTTATAAGGAGTTTTTAAAATTGTGTACGTAGTAACATTGTCTCTGCATGCATGTAACTTGTCTGTACGACTATACTGTGCACGTGGTATGCATATATGGAGCACATTTCTTGTAAAGCCCAATTTAGGGTTTTTTGTAATATTTTTCGGATTTACAAAGTAATCAACCCTAGCAGGGGCAAAATAAAACCTAACAGAAGAACTTGATTTTGTTCTCCGAAGCCACCGTGAATGGCGTGAGAGAAACGCGTGCGGCAAACCAAACGCTTCCATACAAGCGGAGTTGGTTCATTTTCCGATATCCTGTTATTTCCGTTCACAGAGTTTCACCTCCTACATGCACAGTGCTAGAGATGTCAAGAGATTGATTCAACCAGTCTTTCCTACGGTCACCCCTACAAACATGTATTATGTCCGTAAAAAAAATAACACACACCACAAAGTTGGCACATGTCCACATTAGAAACGTTTGAGAATTCCAACAATTCAGTTGTACGTGTATGTTGGAAAAGTTTCCAACTTTGCAAATAACATTTTCCAAATGATCATGTTACACCTGCAATGGAGAGAGATGCTGTTGATGGGTCCAGTCCACGAATTCAAACCCCATTGAAAACAGTGTAAAATCAGCACCGTTCAGGGCCCAATAGCATGCACGCCAACATCCCTGAGATTTCTGAAACACAAATGAAATTCTTGTCCG